ATAGTTAGGAAGTCAGTCCTGGTCCAGTATGCAACTTGTACAGTGTGATGTAGAAACTTGAAGCCACCAGTGCACATCCACTGAGAATGGACTTTACAGTGAAGGAAGAGACATCTTTTAGAATTTAGAAACAACTTTTACATATTCAGAGATTCTGGAAGTTTATTGTGGAAAAAACAAATCAGACACAGGTTATTGTTCCAAGCGGACTACATGTGTATATGTCTTAATACATACATCTGGAGTCAGTCTGGAGCTGTTACTAACTGCTTCATGATTCTATTCTACACATTTCCTTTCCTTGATGGTTAACGTCTGAAATAAAAACACTAAATTGAATTAGTATGTTCACTAGTAGTGTAAAGTAAACAGTAAAATCGCAATGCAAATAAAAGATTCGTCCAGTTGGGAGGGATGGTGCTTTTGTTTTTGTTGTTCCGAGGTGATATTTGTTTCTTTTTATTATTCTGCATTTTGTATATTTGAATAGTGTTGTTTCTTCAGTGTTGTCAATCTCAAAACAAGCTTTTGGTTGTAAAGCTTTGTATTCATGGCAATAAACATTTGATCACACTTGTTTGATGTCCTACGTCACTCGTGTAGTAGCTGTATCAAGGCAGTGTCACTTTAACAAAAGAAGGAAATATGCATTGTTTGGCACAGTTTATACCCTACCGCAGGTATAAAAAATAATTCTATGATCTGATTAAGAGAATATATTTTGTAGATTTTTGTACGAGAAATAAATGAATCAGTATTGTGAACTGTATTAAATAGTGAGTTACATCCCTAGTTAACAAGACTGCGGACAGCCACGAGAGCTACTGTGTGAGGCTGTACTGCACAGAGGTGCTTTGAGGTAAATGCTGACATCAGAATGCTTACAATGACAATGCTAACATGCTGATATTTAGCAGATAAAGTTGACCATGTTCATCACCTTAGTTTAGTGCTACACTACAGTGACTGTTGTACCATTCACTCAATCACTCATTAGTTTTGCAGGATAAAGTTTGGATCGGATCAACACCAACGTCAGGACTGGACTGGGATAGTAACCTAACTCCAGCCCAGAACACCCATTCACAGAATCACAACAGAACACGCACACTGTAACTGTCTGTGCCAATAACATATCTTTTAGTTTTATTACTACACACAGAAACAGCTTCCAAAAACAAAACAGCAACAAGTGCCTTCAGTTTCAAGAGTTAGTCACTTCTATAATGAAGGCTACAGGCACAAGTATTCATATATATCATTTTTAGGGTGTCTGTGAGGCACCGGGCAGTTCCTCAGGGCTCTGACTGGACTGTTGATCATCGTGAGGCTCTGGTAGCTGTTAGTAAGTAGAGCTACTTCCACCTGACAGAAGAGAATACAGCTCTTTATTTTCTATGCTATTGTCATGCAAAGATCACCTGCTTTTCTACAGAGCACTATTAAGTGTTGGTGCCATTTATTTGTTTTTTAAATCAATCTATCAACTCGGGAAGGGTGGTTGTGATATTATGGCGCTGCTAGTATGCAATGTAGTCATTTAACTGCACTTTCTTGCATGGCTCTTCCCCTCTTAATGCGCTCCCTCTCAGCTCTATCTTCTCTCTTTCACCTGTCCATTTTTTCTCCACACACTGACTGAATGCTGTCAGGATGTGTACGTGATGATCACACCATCGGGTTGCAAGCAGGTGGGGCAGTCTACAGCTCAGAGTGACTGTTTTCACTTTGTATATCTGTCACTGGCCCGATACTGGCCGATCTAGCCATCTATCTAATGTGGGCATCATATATCAGCTGTCAGCAACATCAGTCCAAACTAACTGGAATCAGTGTCAATCAGTCACAAACCCTAATACACACAGAGCATGTGGTAATTTTGGGGGTGAAGTCCACTGTGTGTGGACACGATTAGGTTCCCGTCATCTGCTGCAAGCTAAGCCAAGTTAAACACACAACTGCCCGAAAGAGGACAAACTTTACGTCCATCGTTCCATTGGCTCCAGTCCTTTTTTTTTCCTTCCTGTGGGTCCATCAGTTAGATAATCTGCTCTTTCATTCCTCCTGTTGTTCCTCTTCTTTTCCCCAAGAAGTCAAAAGCTCAGACTGAATCATGCCTAGATGGTTGTGTCTGTGAAGTCTCGTCTGGCAAATCCTTTCTGAAAAACATAAAAGACACAATACAACTACAGTAAACCATGTAAAAACAGCAAACATGTTACCAGAAAGGGATGTAGTTATTGGGTTAGATATTTACACTCCATCCATCAGTTGTTACATGCTCTGTCCGCACTCTGTGCAGTCAACATAGTTTTGCGGTTACATTTATTGTAATGCACTTTTTAGCTGCATATTCGAGTCTTTAGTCTGTCCTACAGGGTGGTCAAACTCTGCTGTCACATTATTCTGATTGTAACTTTATTACAGTGGCTTGTAGTTTGTTTTAGAAACCATATTCATAGGTACTATGAATAAAAAGTTCGCGATTTGAAACGCAGGATTTGTCTGCCATTTGGTGCTCAGCAGGTAGTGTACAGCCGAGTTATTATAGTTGGTATTATAGTTTCCAGAGTGGGATTGCTCTTTTCAGTTTAGTTTTATTGTTTAAAAATGTTTAAATTCAGTTAATTTTTGATTAGTTTCAGGGTTAGTATTAGTTTGTTTTTATTATAATATGGTGGTACTGTTCACCTGTTGACTCACAGTCATGTAGACATCTCAGTCTCAATAAACATATGCACCAATGCCTCCTCATGCTTGTTGTGTTGACAAATTTCACCAAATTGACAAAGAATACTAAAGACATACCTGTATGTCTTACTTTATTTTAGTTGATTTTGAAAGTACACAATATTGTCTAAAGTCCAGTTTGTAACTAAAATGTTTTTTTTTTACACCTAGTTAGTTAGTTTTAGTTAACTATAATAACCTCAGTGTCCAGTGAAAAGAAGATATTTTGCTTAGGACCAGTTTGTCTGCACTGTGACTTGTGAAGACAGAGTCACAGTGCAGAGTCCTGTGTGAACTGCATGAGACTGGGTTGAGGACAGACACACAACAGGACATCTATCAAACATAATAACTTCACCATGGTCGCACAGCAGTCAGATAAACACATGCCTTTTGTTTTGCTGTGTCGGGTTCAGTTTGGCTGGGTCTTTTGTGTGTGGAGATGGGGTGGGGTGGGGTGGTTAAACAGGAGGAACATAACAGTACTCAGGGAATGCCAAGTCCACCTAACTCTTTTTTTATTCTTCCCAGAAGGCACAAAGGAGACAAACCCAAAGCATCTCAGCCAGATTCTCTGCATTCCTGCTGAGAGCGGTCACTAAGAAACTAAAACTCCACAAACCTCAGGCCTGTCCCTGGCAGTGATAGACACATTCAGTGGACAAA